GTTGTCATAATTAGTATATAGTATATCATTAGTTTGATAATTAATACGAAAACTTATGATAGTCATGAGTGTAATTATAAAAGTATTCCGTGTATTAACGAAAATTAATATCGAATGTAATCGGACAATGTTTGAGTATAAATACAAAGTATATTAAATACAATTAAGAGAAATTTGCAAAGTATTTGAGACATAGAAGGTCCGTTTTCAATTGATCTGACGTAAGTATATGACAGAATTATCGATGTTTTAGGATGATTTTGTAATCTCGTCAAACTGACCAACTGCATGCTTTATTATTCTCGTAATTCTATTATAAACTTTAATTATAACATTAATTAAATTATATTTAATCGTGCAATTTTAATCTTAATTTCTTAAATATGTTTTAATACGTGTAAATTTCTTCATATTTTAAAAGAACAGATCACATTACTATGTGTGTTAGTGAGATAACAAATGAATATATCGATCGAATACGTATAATGAATATGGGTCGCATACGTGGCTGTGAATGTGAAAAAAGATGCATAATGGATACCGCAAGATGCATAGTGCAAAATACAATAACAATACGGACTTTTAATTCGTCAGAGCACGTTACACGGATTACTATCATTCAATACGTCCGCAACAATAGACCCTAATTGTGGTTGATCAATGTGTCATAGATATCGTTTAATTGTTAAACTGCTAATTATAATTAAATATACAGGTTTATTACTGTACTGAAGCTTGTACTGCATTTTGTCTGTATGATTGTGTAACGCATCTCCGATGCTTTATAGTCTTTCTGTGCGTCATATCCTATCGCACAATGCAATCAATAATTACCCTTTAGCTAGTTAGCTTGCTTTGCAATAAATAACATGCAATAAACAAATGCATTCAAGATAATTTCATTTTCTATATATCTACCTAATGAAGTTATTATATCGTATTTCGCTTGATCTCGGACATACCAGTTTCTCATCATTTTAATCATCTCATCGTAAAATGACATCTTCCTATTGTTTTGATTTTCCGTTGATCACTTTCTATCAATAACACTAGCACTTGTACGATCACTTCCCCATTTTCAATTCTCTCCCTTATCTTCGATGCGTCTAACTCAACATGATACT